AGGAGGTGGCAGGGCCAGGGCAGGGGCTCCTGTGGTTGGGAGGCACTGGAGAGGGGGCTATAGTGAGGTGGTGGGTGGGAGTGAGAGGCCCTGTGGGGCCAGGTGTCAGGAGTCATAGGTGCACCTGCCAAGCCCAGAAAGGCATGCAGGGACTGGTGGTTAGCATCTGTAGCCACTGCTGCCTGGCCCTGGCTCTTGGCCTGCTGCTCAAGGAGCACAATGAGATACTCTTCCAGGGCCTCCATCCAGCCCCAGTGCTCCTACTTCACCTGCTGGAATGCCTCCTCCTGGGCAACATCCTCTACCCACCATGCCAGCTTCCATTCCTGCTGCATCTGGTCAAATGCCTACTCCTATGTCTCGTGCTCCTGAGCCACCACCACCAGCCACTGGAACAGGACAGTCCAGTCCTGGGTGCACTGCTGCCAGTGCCAACTCATCTAGGTGGCTCCAGCAATGGGTAGTGGCAACCTGAACCCTGTATCCATACTGGGGTTGGTAGCCTCTCCCCTGTGTCCAGATGTTGGCTCCACAGAGGCAAGAGACAGAAGCCTTTTGTGAGATTTTGCAGCAGTTCAGAGATAAGATGCTCTGCATCAGGGGCCATGATTGCCGTTGGCATCAGCACCTTCCTTGGGGTGTGAGAGGTCTGTGCCCACCCAGCTGTGGGGACACACACTGCCCAACAAAGTTCTGTCCTGCCTCTGTACCTCCACACCCCGCCCCCCCCAGAGGGCCATGAAGTCGCGCACCTCCTCCTGCGTCCATTTGGGGCCCCAGGTGCTCAGCTTGGGAATGTGCATGCAGGTGGGGTCAGGCCCCACTGGGGAAGGATGGGGATGACTTGGTGGTGGTACCTTCTGTGCTGGGTCTCTGGGCCCCTATGCAGCTGCCCCTGTGTGGCCGGTACTGGACAACACCCAGGAGCACTCTGCAGTGGGTTAGGGCCAAGGCCTGGAAGCTGCATGGCAGAGGCAAGTGTGCCACAGCCCATGCATATAGCTGCAAAGAAAGGAGACAGTGCTGGGGGTGCTCAGGAACAGGGAGCTTGTACTGTCCTCCTACCACAGGCAGCCAGGCCAGGCAGGAGCCCTGGGGCAATCTGAGGAATGGGCAGGGACAGCAGCAGGCTACAGCCCTTTACAAGACTCACCTGTGTCCAAGGGGCAGCTCTGGCTAGTGGACTGGATGAGCAGCAGCAGCAGCCTGGGTCCTGTCCACAGGGCACACAGGGCTTGCACTCCCCCAGGCTCCTGTGCAGAGTGCCCAAGGCACACAATGGCTACAGGCTTTAATACCCTGCAGCTGGGGGCTGCCAAAGAGCAGCCCAGCCAGCCCTGGGGGAGGGGAGGGGAGGGGGCCAGCTACTATTAACCCAGGGTAATTTAAAGCTAGCATTAGTACATAGTACTACATTGTGCTTTGAAGACATATCTACCTTTTCATACGAATAGGAAATTCTTATTACAAAAGACAGGATACCAGGTATGTCCAGAGTTCCCAAATGTTTTCAGAGCTTTTTTGTGCTGTTCTCGTTAGCTTTCTTAACTTTTTAAAACAGGTTACATCTTCAGTTCATTTTTATGTAATTGAGGTAATATAAATCCTGGTTTTGCACATTGTTTAAAATCATCTGTGGTTTAACTGCATTAAAATCAGCAGAGGCATGCCAGAGATCAAGCTGGATCATTATCTAAAAATGTACACTAGGGAACTGAACTTGGTTCATCACAGATAACTAAAATATTCTAAAACAGACATTTGTACTACACTTTCTACTTCATTTAATAGTGGTGTGAAACCATGAGCAGACTTCATCCTGTATTGGCTTCACTGAGGCCATTTGTGTTGCTGAATGGATGATTTTCATTCACTATTGTTTGGCTGATTTAACTTTGTCTACGGCTGAACAAGACTGTCAATATTTGTTTTTAATTGACAAGATTCTGGTAATATGGTGGTGGTGAATGCAGACCAGAACAGTTATGTACAGCACATGGCATATAGGGTAATGATAGACGTGGACAAAATAACGTGCTTTATCAGAAGCAGCAGCACGTTAGTTCAACCTGGCTCGGCAGCATCTGTATAGATTGGGCACTTCAGCAAGTCTTTTTGGCACTTTTATCTAATAGCTGATTCAATCAGCTATTAGATAAAAACATCAAAAAGCCCCACTAAAGCACCCGATCTATACAGACGTTGGAAAAGCCGGATGCAGCTCAGGCGCTGCCTCTTTTGGGCATGCGCTGGGCTCAGTGTGCAGGTGCGCTGGGTTTGGCATGCAAGCACGCCAAGTTTTAAGTAAAGCACCATTTTTATTTTTCCCCCACATCTGAAAGTAGCCACAGCGTGCTGCCTGGCTGCCTGGCAGCTAGCCACCAGATTAGGAATGGACAATAATGACAAATAGATGTTAGGGATAAAGATCACAAATGCTGGGTGTAACTCTAAAATCTGACAGATGTTGGAAGGATCTCACTCTTAGTATGACAAAACTTGTATAACTTGTCAGACCAATAAAGTCTCAGTGAATTAAATTGTCTACCAATGGACATTTTGGCTGCCACTGGTGTTTAGACATTTGAAAATTTTGCTGGAAAGGCTAGACTCTGCTGGGTAACCAACGTTACTTTAAGCCAGCCGTTAAGTGTCATTCTGAAGTCTCTTTTCAATATCAAGTTCTAGAACAATTCCTCTTTGTTTGCCAGTGAAGAACTGCAGTTATTTTCGGAGGCCCAGAACTAGTATGTGATTATTTCTACACTACAAGCTTACTGTGCCAAGCAGTGGTGCCCTCACATACACTTGTGCTACCTAAGGTTATCTCCTGATCTGGAAGCAGTAGAGATGCATGAGCTAATTAGCCCTTTAACCATGCACGTATAGCTATACTGCTTCCAGTTCAGGAGCTATCCTGCATGAAGCAGGGCAGTATATCTGAGGTCACTGCTGCCTGGTACTTTATGTTTGCAGTGAAGATGTATTTCTTTTAGAGCCATAAATACTTTGCTTTTTTCAAACAACAGATTCTCAGTTTTTTTCCTTGCCTAATTCACAAATTGGAGCAAGTGTAACATGGCATCCTTCATGATGTATTTGTATGTAATTTATATCAGAAAAATATCATGACGCATAATGTATAATTAAAACACATAACAAAATAAGGATCACATTTATTCTCCTGCCTGTGAAATCAACACTATATGATTCATACAGACGTATCTACTGGAAAAGCACTAAGGCAATTGTGCTCCATAATGAATAATCTATAGGAGTTGATTAGAGCTCAGTGAAGACTGGAAAAAAATATCTGTGAATATTCTTGAATTTTTAAACAAATCTGCTTCTATTATGTTCACACCCATTTATTTGTTATGAATTATTCACCTAGAGCTTAGGCTGATGGAAGGTAATTGGTTTTGCAGCCATGGGGTTAGGCTTAACTATTCCATTTGAATTACATTACAATGATTATATATTACGTGCATTGTAGCAGTGCCCAGAGGCTCCAGTCTGGATCAGGAATCCATTTTGCAAAGCACTGTGCAAACACAGAATCCTTTTTACTGAAGCCTTCCCAGTTCCCAGATACAACTGTCAACCAGCCGCGCTCAAGGGATGTGATATACAGCTTGCGGGATGTGGGATGGGTGACGAACCTAACCTTAGTTTGTCATGGTTGGTTTGAACTGGGGGACAGGCTGTGAGGTGAAAGACAAGGGGTGAGTTCATAGAAACAGAGGATTCTGGAGGAGGGAACGTGGCAGGGGAACCTGCAGGGAGGAAAGAAAAATAACCCGGGGTCAAATCCTGAGGAAGTCGAGCCTGGCAGCAGGACCGCTTTCTGCTCCTTAGGGCAGGCAGCCCCCGAGGGCTGGGGTACAGGTGATGAATGCCCCTGCAGGTGCTCCAAACCTAGAAAGAAGGGGCCTAACTGGGCTTCCCTCTCCCCCACAGGCAGGCCAGGGGGTGTCTTTGCTGTTGGGGGGCAGTTCCCAGGCCCCTGGCGCGGCGGGGAGGCCCTCCCATCCCGCCTGAGCAGAGCAGTGGGGAACTGAGCTCCTTGCCCCGGGGTAGGGCTAAGGGGACACTGGACCCCGGGGCGCCTAGTGCCCCAGCCCGGTGCCTCGGGGCTGGCGCGGCCGGGCGCTGCTGGTCTCGCTCAGCATCTGCGGCGGCGCCTCTGCCCCGGGGAGGGGGGGGGGTCCCCGCAGACGGCGCTGCCCGGTGCCCGTGGGT